ACCTGCAGAGCCTCTGGCCTCCAGTGCTACTCTGGTTCCGATTTATGCCAGCCAGTCGTAGAGTCGTGTTTCGACGGGCCACTCCCACCTTCGCAACCACCCTCGCCGCCACCTGCCTCACCGCCGCCGCCCTCACGTCCACCGCCTTCGTCTCCGCCTCCGTCGCCACCGCCGCCTAGCCCGCCTTCGCCCTCGCCACCGCCTCCAAGCCCGCCCCCGCCGAGCCCGCCTCCGCCCTCGCCGCCGCCCCCCGTGTCGCCCGCTCCGGTGTGCGACTGCGACACTCCGGTGGTCAGCGGCGCAGAGGCAGACCACTCGAGCCGCATGGGCGTCTACGCCGCCACCGGCATGCAGACGCCAGACGGGCGGTCGGTCTACCAGCACGCCGGCGGCGCCTACCTCTACTACATCGCAGCCTTCGGATCCTGGGCAGTCGGAGCGGACTACGCGGACAGCAGCGCGACGCCGTACCTGTTCAGCGTCAGCAGCGCCCCCTGCCCGACGGCGACGACGGGGTGGATAGACACCACTTCAGGCCCTGTCGGCCTCGCATTGGCATGCCCTTCCCCGCCGCCCTCACCTCCGCCACCCTCACCTCCGCCGCCCTCGCCGCCGCCACCCTCTCCGCCGCCGCCCTCGCCATCGCCGCCGCCGCCCTCACCGCCCCGACCCTCGCCACCACCACCCTCGCCTCCGCCGCCCTCGCCACCTCCGCCCTCGCCGCCGCCTCCGAGCCCGCCGCCGCCCTCGCCATCGCCGCCCTCGCCATCGCCGCCGCCTCCCAACCCGCCGCCGCCCTCGCCACCACCGCCCAGTCCCCCGTCGCCCACGCCGCCGCCTCCAAGCCCGCCCCCGCCGAGCCCGCCTCCGCCCTCGCCGCCGCCCCCCGTGTCGCCCGCTCCGGTGTGCGACTGCGACACTCCGGTGGTCAGCGGCGCAGAGGCAGACCACTCGAGCCGCATGGGCGTCTACGCCGCCACCGGCATGCAGACGCCAGACGGGCGGTCGGTCTACCAGCACGCCGGCGGCGCCTACCTCTACTACATCGCAGCCTTCGGATCCTGGGCAGTCGGAGCGGACTACGCGGACAGCAGCGCGACGCCGTACCTGTTCAGCGTCAGCAGCGCCCCCTGCCCGACGGCGACGACGGGGTGGATAGACACCACTTCAGGCCCTGCCGGCCTTGCACTGGCATGCCCTTCCCCGCCGCCCTCACCTCCGCCACCCTCGCCCCCGCCGCCCTCGCCGCCGCCGCCCTCGCCATCGCCGCCCTCGCCATCGCCGCCGCCGCCCTCACCGCCGCCACCCCCACCTCCGCCGCCCTCACCGCCGCCGCCCTTGCCACCGCCTCCAAGCCCGCCACCTCCATCGCCGCCTCCGCCCTCGCCTCCGCCCCTCGTGTCGCCCGCTCCGGTGTGCGACTGCGACACTCCGGTGGTCAGCGGCGCAGAGGCAGACCACTCGAGCCGCATGGGCGTCTACGCCGCCACCGGCATGCAGACGCCAGACGGGCGGTCGGTCTACCAGCACGCCGGCGGCGCCTACCTCTACTACATCGCAGCCTTCGGATCCTGGGCAGTCGGAGCGGACTACGCGGACAGCAGCGCGACGCCGTACCTGTACAGCGTCAGCAGCACCCCCTGCCCGACGGCGACGACGGGGTGGATAGACACCACTTCAGGCCCTGCCGGCCTCGCATTGGCATGCCCTTCCCCGCCGCCCTCACCTCCGCCACCCTCGCCCCCGCCGCCCTCGCCGCCGCCGCCCTCGCCATCGCCGCCCTCGCCATCGCCGCCGCCGCCCTCACCGCCGCCACCCCCACCTCCGCCGCCCTCACCTCCGCCGCCCTCGCCACCGCCTCCAAGCCCGCCACCTCCATCGCCGCCTCCGCCCTCGCCTCCGCCCCCCGTGTCGCCCGCTCCGGTGTGCGACTGCGATACTCCGGTGGTCAGCGGCGCAGAGGCAGACCACTCGAGCCGCATGGGCGTCTACGCCGCCACCGGCATGCAGACGCCAGACGGGCGGTCGGTCTACCAGCACGCCGGCGGCGCCTACCTCTACTACATCGCAGCCTTCGGATCCTGGGCAGTCGGAGCGGACTACGCGGACAGCAGCGCGACGCCGTACCTGTACAGCGTCAGCAGCGCCCCCTGCCCGACGGCGACGACGGGGTGGATAGACACCGCTTCAGGCCCTGTCGGCCTCGCATTGGCATGCCCTTCCCCGCCGCCCTCACCTCCGCCACCCTCACCGCCACCGCCCTCGCCCTCGCCGCCGCCTCCGTCGCCGCCTCCGTCGCCGCCCCCTCCGTCGCCGCCTCCGCCCTCGCTGCCGCCTCCCAACCTACCGCCGCCCTCGCCGCCGCCGCCCAGTACCCCGCCGCCCTCGCTGCCACCGCCCAGCCCGCCCCCGCCGAGCCCGCCTCCGCCCTCGCCTCCGCCCCCCGTGTCGCCCGCTCCGGTGTGCGACTGCGACACTCCGGTGGTCAGCGGCGCAGAGGCAGACCACTCGAGCCGCATGGGCGTCTACGCCGCCACCGGCATGCAGACGCCAGACGGGCGGTCGGTCTACCAGCATGCCGGCGGCGCCTACCTCTACTTCGTTGACGCCGCCATCAACTTCCCGTCGTGCCCCACGTGCATGTCGAGCTGGGCCATCGGCACGGACTACACCGATGCGTCCCTGCAGCCCGACTTGTTCAGCGTCAGCAGCGCCCCCTGCCCGACGGGTGCGATGGATTGGCTGGCGAGGACAGGATCGGGCTACGCCGTGCTCGGTACACTTGCATGCCCGTCACCGCCGCCGTCGCCGCTGTCACCATCGTTGCCGCCTTTGTTCATGTTGCCACCGTTGCTGCCACCGTCCACGCCGTGCGCCCCGACCCCGATGCAGCTCACGCGCCCTGCCTTTGCTGGAGACACGCATATCTCTGTTAGCCACCACCGATGCGGTCTTGACGTGGGCGACACGTTCATCCTCGGGAGCGAAATCCTGGCTGTCACCGCCCTTGGCGGTTACGGCCTTCGCCGTTCGCTCTCGGCCATGGCCCCGCGCTCGCTCTCCGAGTGGGACGTCACCGTGTCCTTCACCCCGGCATTGACGAGCAGCTATCTGGCCGGCCTCGCGGAGTCTTTGACGCCGCTTGCGCCGCCGCCGATGGTTGGATTGGGCTCGCCGCCAGCGATTTCGCCACCGGCGCTGGCGCCTCCTACACCCTGGTCACCGCTGGGGGATGTTCTCACCCCCTTGGGCATCGGAGTTACCACGAGCGGAGCCATTCCAGTCTGGCAGCTCGCTCTAGCCATCTGCTTGCCCACCGCGATCCTCTGCGCTGCGCTGCTGCTCGCTCGCAGGTTGCGGGTGTGCTCGTGGCGACGCAAGACGCCACCGACCGCCAGCTCAGCTCCGATGGTTGGCTTTATCACACACAGTTCCAGGGCAAGCTCTCGTTTCGCGGGCGGAGTTGGTGTCGACGACGAAGACTATGAGCACCTGTCTATCGTCAGTAACGAGTACGCCAGAGAGGGCGACGTTTCGACAGCCTCGGTGAAACCGAGAATCGGCCGCGTCGCACTTGTGCGGAGCGGCGGGGCGGTTAGGCAGGCTGCCGTCGCAGACAGAGACTCTGGGGGCATGATCAGTCGTATCTAGGTGTGGTGCCTGTGAGTTCTTTTTTGCGTCACTGCCTGAATTCCTTTTTTTGCCTTAGCAGGGTTCGTTGGGCTCCTAGCCGGATCCGTCTGTGTAGGTACGATGGGCTTGTTTGGCCCAAAGGGCCCGGCAACAGGTTACGCATCAGGGCAAAGAAAAAACAAATAGACCCACCTCTAGACCAGCTAGGATCTATCCCTTCGGGTTTGTCGCTTTGTGGCAAATTCTATGCTCCGGCGAGCCCTTGGTCTTACGACCGTCGGCGTCGGCGGAGGGGCAGCGCTCGCGTACCAGTGGGCGAAGGAGGCGCTTGGGGAGGATGGGTTGGAACGGTTGATCAAATACGACCGCGTCGCCATCCCCGCCATCGTGCAGTACAAGTGGGTGGAAGCGCGGTGCGGAAAGTTGTCTCGTCTGGCCCCGCTGCTCTTCCCGCCCGTGAGCGAGGAGGAGGAGACGGCGCGCTTCGCCGTGCTGCACGAGAGGTGGGCACAGCCACTCTTTGACATCTTCATGGCGCGGACGCCGCCCGCGCTCAATCCCCGCTCCACTGCCGGCACCACTGTGGCCGATCCCACTCCGCGCACGGCAGGAGTTGGGCGGCTTTTACTACAAGAGCGGCCAAAAGATCGCCGCAAACACGTCGGGCGTGATGCCCAAGTTGTACATCGACCTGTTTCAGCCGTTCCTCGACCGGATCCCTCCTCGCCCGTTTGCCGAGATCCGAGGCGCCACACCTCCCGCCTCCCGACGCACCGCCGCACGGCTGCCGCACCGCTGCCGCCTGTTGCAGCGCCGGTTGTGTCCCTCAGCCGCGACCCTCGCTAATCTCCCTCTCTCGCCGCCCGCAGCCGTCGTCGAGGAGGAGCTGGGCGTGCCGCTGGGCGAGGTCTTCTCCGAGTTCGAGGAGGCGCCGCTCGGCTGCGCCTCCATCGGCCAGACGCACCGCGCGGTGCTGCGCGCGAGCGGCGAGCGTGTCGTCGTCAAGGCGTGCAGAGACACTTGATACACACTTCGGCTCCTCCCACACTTCCCCGACGCTTCCTAGACACTTCCTAGACTTCGGCGAGCGCGGCGTCGTTCAGGCTCCGAGTTTTCAGCTCAGTGCGCAGCTCGAGGAGGGCCTGCGGGCAACAGGCGCACTTCCGTGGACTCAGGTCCAGAACCCAAAGGCCGAGCAAACCTTCCGCGGCGACGTCTTTGCGCTCAAGACCGTCGTGGACGCCTTCGCGCCGCAAGCCTCGCCCGCCTTCGACGAGATCCAGAAGCAGTTCGCGACCGAGTTTGACTACCGCGGCGAGTGCGCCAACGCCGTCGAGGTGCGAGCCAACCTCGTCCGGAGCGGCCGCTTCCCGAACGTGCTGGTGCCGCGCATGCACGCGGCGCTCTGCACGCGGAGGCACGGCTCGCGCAGCGTGTCCTCCCTCTCTCGGTCTGGGCTCAGCACTCGGGAGGCACGGGTGAGTTAGGCTGCTCGTGATGGAGGAGATCTTCCCGTGCGTACCGCTGCACCACGCGCTCGACGCGCAGGCGGCCCTCGTCGCACGGCAGCGCGGCGCCGGCCCGCGAGGCGCGGCGAGAGGCGCGGCGCCGGCCCGGCTGCACCTCGGCGGCACCTCGGTCCCGTAGGCGTCACGAAGGAGGAGTTCCTGGCCGCGGAGAAGGCGCGCGTCGAGGCAGAGTCCCGCGAGGCCGCTTCGCGAGGCCGCCTCGTCCGGCAGCTCTCGCACAACACGTACGAGCGCTACATTGCGCTGCAGCGGGTGCGCGCCGCTTGCTGGCGCGGCGCGGCGCGGCTGTACAACTGGACGATCGGCGTGCTCACGCTCGGCGCGTCGCGATACGACCTCGCCGCCCTCTCCGCAGAGGCGCTCATCCCGATCAACGCGGCGTCGCTGGTGGACGAGCTCCTCTCCGTCACTGCGCACCAGGCGCGCCGCTGCGGAGGGCGGCGTGCCGAGCGGAGGGGCGGAGGCGAGGCGGCGCCTCCACTCGCGGCTGTGAGCAGGTGCTCATCGACGGCTGCTTCAACGCCGACCCGCACCCGGGCAACATCCTCTACGTGGACTCGGTCCACCCGCCAAAGCTGGGGCTGATTGACTATGGGCAGGTCCGCGGCGCACGCTCACACACACTACACGCGCACGCACACGCTGCTGACACACTCTCCGCTGATCCCGCGCGCCATGCCGCGCTCGCCTCAGGTGAAGCGGCTGACGGACCAGCAGCGGTATGACGTCGCCAAGGCGTACTTGCTCGTCGAGGCCGCGCTGCGAATCGACCCGAAGACGGACCCGCAGGCTGACCCGGCGGCGCACGCCAGGGCGAAGGCCGCCATCGCGCGCCACCAGTTCGAGACGCTCGGCGTCAAGACGGAGAAGCTCGACCCCGAGGTGGCGTACGAGCAGGCCACCCCGCCGCACCCTTTCCCAGCGTCGCTCTCCAAAGCCAGCTGCCCTTGCGGGACTGTGGCCCCCGCGCCTTCGCACTGCCGCGCGCGACCGCCCGGCCCTCGCCGCCGCCACCCCGCGCCACTCTGCCGCCGCAGGCTTGCGTCTACTTTGGGCGGATGGACGCGGCGTGGCTGTACCCGCTCAACGTGATACAATGGTCCGACTCGGTCGAGGCGCGCGATCCGCTCAAGGACATCTCCGCGTGCGAATACCTCGTCATGTGCGCGGCGGCGGCAAGGGGGGGGGGGGGGTAGCACTTTCAGGAGAACCGCCCTCGACTGTAGGCTCAACATGACGACGATGATGATTCGCGGGCTCGGCGAGATGCTGCAGCAGTACCGCAACCTTGCAGCCGTGTGGGCGCCGACGGCGCGCCGGGCGCTCTCCGAGCAGCCGGGCTTACTCGAGACGGTGGAGGCGGAGATCCGCTCGTGGCATGAACCGTGATTCTCAGCGTCGTGACCGTAATAGCTAATGGTACTGTGTACGAGTAATCTCAGTAGCTGAGGCCGAGACAAAAATCTAATAAGAAAATGACAGAGTAGGATATGACATGTGTATCGTGTTACCTTTCCACCACTTCTCCGTAGACGGCGTACGGGTACGCAAAAAAAGGCTCGCTAAAAACACACCGCAAAATTCTCTCGTGTGGCGGCCCGCGAAGAGACATGGGAAAGAATAGCCCCTTGCAGTGTGGGAGGTATTTTTCTTCCTGTTCCTAAGGCTGAGGCCTAGCGGTCTGCTGCGCAGAAGAGGTAAAAAGTCTGCGAGCTCTTACTATATCAAAACGTATATACGGCTGGGCTTTTTAGTTTCTCTGGTAGGTCGGGAACGAGATGATAGTAGGGAGTTGAAGAAAAGCAAAGAGGAGCCCTGCGCACGCACGACTCCGCAGGAGAAGCCCCTCTAGTATCTGTGTGGCATTAAGTCCATTTTAGTATTTAGACTATAATTTTTAGAGAGGGAGAGTGTGTGTACCTAGTCCTAGACACCGCCAGGTCGCATGAGCGATTTTATTTTCATGAAACGTAAGTAGGCGAGTGGGGACAAAACGGAGATCGCCTTTCATCAGCCACACGAGACAGCGTGACAGCGTGAGTGCGCGGTCTCCTTTCCCGCACCGAGTTTTACTTTTTCACAGCAGCGCGAAAAAGCGCAAACACGAGAAACGGACCTCCGTCTATCTCTCCGGACTACACTTACTCCGCGTCGTCCGTCTCATAGCTCCTTTGCACGTTCCCTCTCCTCGTCGTCAATGATGACCCCGTCGAGCGTCTACGCATGCACGCGTACGCCGGTCAGAGGGAGCGGGTGGGCGGCCGGTCTTGCGCGCGGCCGCAGGCTGGGCGCCGCACCTTGAGTCCAGGCAGTCGCTTCACGACCTGGATGCGCCAGTCGCCCGCCTCAGCGCAAGCGTCGCAGAGCGGGTTGCCCTTGAGCAGCAGGTCGCGCATGTTCGAGCAGGCGGCGAGGCGCTCCACCTCGGCCCAGGAGCTGATCTTGTTGTTGGACATGAAGAGCACCTCGAGGTGCGACAGCTTCTCCACCCCCGCGAGGGACCCGATCTGGTTGTACGAGATCCATAGCTGTAGAGGGCGGCAGGGAATGGTGAGAAGCTCACGCCACACGCTCCTAGCGTCGGGCTGTCCCCGTCCTGGTTCAAGCAAGAGCCAACGCGTAGTGCCAGCAGGCCAGTGTGAAGGCAGGAGACAGGCAGAGTAAAGGTGGAGAGAAAGAGCGATGGGCGAGGGGAGCAAAGGCGCGGCTACGGCCCACTGTGGGGCGCAGCTGGGCTAACCGCCGGTGCATATGGCTTCTGGTTCATGCCTCGGCTCATGCCTGCTTGAGCGTGTCAGCAACAGGGTCGAGACCGTTGATCGACTTGAGCGAGTTGCGGCCGAGTGAGAGGATCTCGAGGTTGTCGAGCCCGTTCAGATTCGCGATCTTGTCGATCGCGTTCGTCGAGAGCCTCAGGTGCTTGCACGATTTGAGCGTGCCAAGCGCTCCGTCCATCTTTGTGATGAGCGGCAGCTGCAGCGCGATCGGACAGAGGCGGACGTCCTCCGCCTCAGCGGCAACGACGCTTTGCGCAGTCTCCCACGCCTTGATGGCATCCTTGCACGACGTCATCGGCCAGCGCGGCTCCGGGTGCCGCGACGCGGCGCCCCCTCCCCCGAAGAGAGCGGTTGGCGGCGAAACGACGCGAACGAAACGGCGCTAAAAAACACTTCTTATTTTCTTTGAGCTAGCCTTCGATGTTATGAAAACAAACGCAAGGCGGACTACGTGCCTCCCCGTCTTTGTAGCCTGGCGTTTGTGCCCCGTTTGTGCCGCGTCCCGTGCCCCCGAGTTCATTTTATAATAAAGGACATGCATATCGCTCTCGGGCCCACAGACATCCGCACACCCGCCCCCCCCCCGCGCGCCCCACTCCGGCCGGGATTTGTTTTCTGCTCTCAAAGGTAGCATAAAAGAAATCGCCAGCGCGGCCGTTGCTCCAGCCCGTCCTCCCGTGGCTGTGCGAACATCGTCCTCCCACCTGTGGAGGATTTTGAGCCCGCCGACATCCTCGAGGCGCGCCGTCTTTGGCTGCAGCTCGATTGTATGCTCACGTGGTCGCAGCAGCTCGGCGGCCGGCCGGCGGAGCTGGAGAAGCTCCCGTCAGACCACTACCTGCCGGAGCGCTACCCGCAGATCTGGAAGCGTGCGTGCGACGCAGCCATCTCACAGGCTGTGTTGATCAATCTCACGGCGCGGCAGCGGGAGCTGCCTTCGTGCTCCTCCGCCAAGAGACGAGCTGGTCTGGGAAGGATGACGGTTGGGCAGCACATACACGGTCTCTCTGGCGCCGCCTTTAGCTCCAGGGCGGTGTGCGCTCTGGAGGCGCCTCGCGGCCGCCCTGGCCGGGTGTGGCAGTGGCTGCGAGGCGCCCCTTGCGCCGCTGACGGCTGGCTCTGCCTCTTCCGCCCGTTTGACGAGCCTCCAGCGCCAAGCGCGCCGGCCGACCACTGCTCGAATCGATGGGCCGGGGCGTCATGGCCGCCGCTGCCGCCGCTGCCGCCGCCGGCCGACATGTGGTCTCGCAAGGCGTCCCAAACCAGCGCTTCCCCGCGCTGGGACCGCTTCCTCTGGCTCGCCGCCTACACGCAGCTCATCTCGCGCCCGTCAGAGGCGACGCTCGCTTGGGCGGCGGAGCGGCGGCGGGAGCTGCGGCCGCATCTCGCGGGCCCGTGCGCGCGCTTCCCGGCCGTGTCGTTGCAGGCGCGGCGCGGAGACAAGTGCAACAGCGCGAACGCGCGGATGCGGCCGCAGCACTCCTTCTCGTGCGGAGGCCTCGCGGCGTACTTGCCCGCGCTGCGGGCCATCCGGCACGCCTACGGCTCGCGCGCCGTAGATGGCATTTCCGTCACACACACCTCCCCGCCCTCACTCTGCGCTCTGTGCCGCCAGGCTCCTGCGCGCTGCGCGTCGCCACGGATGGCCGGTCGCTCATCGAGGAGCTCGAGAGCGGCGCGCCGAGATCTAGCCGAGATCTAGCCGAGATCTAGCCGGGATGTAGCCGAGATCTAGCCGAGATCTAGCCGAGATCTAGCCGGGATGTAGCCGAGAACTAGCCGGGGCGGCGCGGGCTCGAGAGTGATGCGCGCCGCCCGAGAGCGAGAGCGCGAGGCGCCGCTGCGCCGCGTGGGGGCCTGTGAGGCCGCCCTCTTCCCACGCGGGACACGCTGTGAGCAGGGGCGCTGCCTGAGCTGGAGGGGTGGCACGTGCTCTACCACGCCTTCAACCGCACCGCGCACGAGGCGCAGCGCTGCGAGCCGATGCCCGTCTGCCAGTGGATCGAGTACCGCCGCGAGAAGCTCGGCATCGACACGGCGGGCATGGGCTTCTCCCTCGCCGCCGACCTGCACCTGCTGGCGGGCGGCGGCGTCTTCGTCGGCCAGTTCGACTCAGAGACGGGGCGGATCGCCTACCTGCGCATGGCCGCGCGCCTCGGCCTCGCCCCTCCCTTCTGGCACTACCAGTCGACAAAGGAGCGCGCCCGCGCCTGGCACCCGTTTACGCGGCGGCCGCGCATGTGGGCGGAGGTCTAGCGAGACCTCTCAGAGTCTCAGGATACTGCAAAGGGGGTGCATACGGGGGGTATTAGTAGAGCCGTACGATGGGAACGCGTGCATATCCTGACGAGTACATTACTACAGTAGAGTGTCGTGTGCCGTATGTGTGAGAGGGGGAGCGCACAGTGGAAAGTCAAAGCTCTCGGTGTTTTGTTTAGGGCGGGCGCACCGCCGCGGGGGAGAAAGGAGGCGGTGTGGCGTGTGCGCCGGGGGCCGACACCGCGGTGGACACGGACCGAGAGACAGTGCGAAAAAAAACGCGCTCATGCGAGACCGAGAGACACACCCCCTATGGCCCCCGCGTGCGGTAGCGCGGGGAACTTACAATACACAAATAGATGGGCAATGCCTTGTGCTTCAGCCCGCCTGCTTGCGCTTGCGGCTGCCGGCTCCGCCTCCGCCGGCTCCTCCCCCCTTGGACGCCGCCTGCTTTGACGCCTGCTCGGCTAGCCGCGCCTTGCGCTGCTCGGCCAGCCGCGCCTCTCGCCGCTCCCCCACCTTGCTGATGTGCTCCGCGTGCTTCTCGCCGTACTCCTCGAGGAGGGCGCACAGTGTCGAGAGGCTGTCGCTGCCCGTCGCGCCGCCCTGCCGCTGCCTCCACTGCTCGAGGCTCTGGCGCCCATTCCACAGCGTGTAGGCGACGGTCGTCGCGTTGCCAGCCTTTTGCAGCATCTGCGTGAAACCCGCCCACGCGTCGTCCGGCACGCCGGCCGGCCGCGCGGCAGCGACCTCGTGCGCCAGCCGGCGCACCTCCTCCTCCACCTCGACCGCCCGCTGCGTCAGCACCTTTTGGTACTCCGGGTCCGTCCGCCTGCGGCCCGCCTACGCGGAAGACTCGGGAGACGCTGTAGGGGAAGGCTCCAGCTCCTCTCCGGGTGGTCCGCCGCGCCTCGGCGTCGACGGCCCCCTGCAGCCGCTGCAGCGCGGCCGTCGCCTTCTCGTGGCCCTTGACGTGCCGGTGCTTGTTCTGCAGCGTCTCCAGCAAAGCGCGCGTCTCCCCCCGCAGCAGGTGCGCCGCGTAGTCCTGCTCCGGCTCCTGCTTCCCGTGCGGCTTGAGCCACGCTTTGGCCGGCACACTACTTGGGCGCGCCTTGACGGCCTCGCGGCCGAGCTCGCAGAGACGCCTCTCCGTCTCCTCCGTCGCAGCCACCGCGCCGCGCCGACCCGCGGCCCGCTTCTCCTCGGCCTCCTCCCGTGCTCGTGCCTCCTCCCTCGCGCGTGACTCGGCGGCGGTGAGCGGCGCTCGCTTGCCGTTGCCGCCTCCAGCCGTCGCCAGCCCGGGAAGACTGCGTAGCTCGAAGCGGGCGAGTGCGGCGCTGTCGGGCCGCCCGGGAGGCAGCCGCATGTCTCTCGGCGGAAGCCGCCGCAGCAGCGGGCCCAGCCGCGAGCCGGGGCTGAGCGGCAGCGGCTCGCCGTCGCCCTGGACCTCGCGCAGCCATGCCTCCCACGGCCGCGGCGCTGGGGCGCGCAGGTAGCCGGGCAGCGCCTCGGTGGACATGTATCGGTATTGCGCGACGGAAAAACGAGGTTTGCCCTGGACTCCGATTTACGCCCCGGCGGGGATGCATTTGCGGGTTTCCCCGTGCCGCGAGACTTGGGCATGTATCTCCCGCGATGTGTCGCGGACAAACCCAAGTAGACGCCCCTTGGGCGGGATCGCGTCTTACTTACACAAGAGGAACTATAACACTCGCTAGTCATGTACAATCATGAGAACTGGGTCCAGGCTCCATAGTGAGGTGGTCTCCCAGTCTAGCGCACCTCGCGCCCGGCGGGCGGCGACCTGTCCGTCCACCGACCCCTCCGCCCGCGCGTGCCACCGCCGCCTCCACCGCCGAGTCGAAGAGCCGTCGTAGACCCGTCGTCCGTCCACCGTGTGGTACGCCGCGAAGCGGCCCGACGCCCAGGGAAGTCGGCGGCCGCGCGAGCCCGACGCCTGCTCCTGCTTGCGCACGCCTGCGTAGCCGGTGCTGCTGCGACTCGAGAGGTGCAGCCGCCAGCCCTGCGCCTCTGTCACCACCGCCGGCGCCTCCCCCGCGGGGCCCATGTGGGATGGACCTGCGAAAGCGCGGGGAAGGGAGAGTGCATTCAGAAGGCAGAACCTGAGCACAAGTGGGGGGCTTGCTCGCGAGCCTTGACTTGCATCGACTTGATTACAACGCGGAGCCATCGCGGGTAGCCAGAGGCGGCGGACCGAGCAGCATGGGCGGCGTGTCATTCTGCAGTCGATCGCCGCCGAGCGGCATAGCGGCGCCGTCGCGGGTAACCAAAGGCGGCGGGACGGCGGGAGAGGGCGGTGGTGCGGGCGGTGATGCTGATGATATGTGGCCATTGGCCGCCGCCGCGTCCTCTTTGCGAGCGCTCTCGGCTTCCGTCCCTTTTTACGCTTATCCCCCCCCCTCGTAAGTGGCACGAGCTTTCGGCGGACCAGGCCAGGGCTTCTCGTCAGTCTACTTGGGTTTGTTAGTGTCCCGTATTGCTGTTCACAGCTAGGGAGCGAAGTGGCAGTAGCCAGCCTCAAGCATCGATGGGATAATAAGATGAGATTACCAGACGAGAACGGGGGGAAGGACAGGCGGGCGACATTTGACGACGTCGGGGATCACAATGTGACGACCAAAACGATCCTGGGGGCCAGGGTGAGACAACAGGTCGGGGTGCCACATGGGGCACACCACAGGCGTATTCTAGAGGGGGAAAAGAAACGGGGAATGAGGGGCCCCGCCACGAGAAGTGCGTTCTGGGGATGCAGAGCGTGCAAAGCGGCTAGGGATGAGGTCGCAAAAGAGGCGCGCGAGGCAAGGAGGAGACGCGGGGAACTGAAAGACTGGGACGACTGGAAACAAGAAGACAGTGAGCCACCACAGGCGTCGTTGGCGCACATACTGAGCGGCAGCTGCGCTGGAAATAAGGAAGAGGCGCGTCACTTCATGCGGAAGCTCGACAAACACACAGCGAGGGCGACAGCAAGAGTTGAACGGGAGGCGCCGGACTCAAAAGACACCGCCACATTCCTGAGACGAGCGAGGGCAGCCTCCTTAAAGGCGAAAGGGTCTAGATTTGGGGCGCTCGCCGAAGAAGAGTACGACAAAATAGCGCCCGTGATTGCCTGCACGCTACCCGCACTCACGGACTCCATAACCGAAAGAAAGAGAAGGGAGCTCGCGGGAGAGGTGACGAGTGAACTACAGGTAGTGGGGAAGGCAGCCTCGATTGCCATACAGACATGGGTGCGAAACAACGACAAGACCAAGGCACGGGCAGAGGAACGAGAGAAGAATATAGGGTGGATAAAGCGCCTGTTCACGGCATGGAGGGTGAGCCACACCGAACGTACCGAGCGAAGAGCCAAGCGGAAGGAGGACGGGGAAGATGACTCCGAGGAGGACGAACCAGTGGAAATCCAGTTGTCAGATGTCACGATGCATCCGAAGGGAACCCCAGCGCCGGCATCATCCGTAGAGGCACGAGTGTTCGAAGAGAGAGTGGACCTGAGCAACAACATGACCTGTAGGCAAATGATCGGAGTGGGAGTCAGAAATGTGGTCCTTGCGCGAGGGGAGCTCGATAGACTCGAGGGGCCAGGATACGCCGCGAGGAGGACGGAGTTGCGCCGACAGGCGAAAGAAGCCGCGAGAACAAGGGACCGGCAGGTGGCGGCGTCGCAGGACGAGGCAGAAGAGAACAACGCGTCAGAGGAGGAAGTGACAAGGGAGAGAACGATGAGGGTGGGACGACCGCGAGGTGGCATGAAGGTTGCAGCGAGAATCGGCGAGAGACTGCGAAGAGAGATAGGAAGAGGCAGACTCCCTAGGGTGGGCGACGGATAGCGCACCACACACCTCTCCTTAAAATCCCTGTGTGGTGGCGGCGTGCCGTCCTCCCATCCCTCCCTTGGGTTGTCTGTTTTCTTTCTTTCTTAGGGACGGCCTCTGCGGCAAAGTCAAACCACCCCACCTACCACCTACCTACCGCAGCAAACCTTCGGCTCCCGCTCAGAGGCTCGCCGCGCCCGTGCGGCGCGCCGAGGCGGCGCCGAGGCCGGCGCCTTGCACCCGGCCCGCGGCCGGCACCGCCTCGCCCCACAACTGACCGCCCTGCGGCCCCTGCGCAGGCGTACCACAGGCGTCGCTCCTCGATGATCGCTTTGCGGTGCTCCGTGATCTCGTCACCGCGCTTGCCGAGGAACTCGCTCTGGATCCACTTTTCCACGGCATACTGTGGGATGCCGCCGAAGAGCTTGGCCTGCACGAAGTGCACCATCTGCTCTTTCGACCAGTCGCGCTCTGTGCCCTCACAGCGCTTGACCTCCTCCACGATGTTGTGGAAGAACATCGGGTTGCTCGAGTCGCGCAGCTTGGACCACTGCATCGAGGCGCCGACGGCCAGCGCGAAGACTTCGCGCTCGTTCGGCAGCGTGTGCTTCGACTTGCGTGCGCCAGAGGCTGAGAAGAGCGAGTGCATGCTCCGCTGATTCCGCTTTTGCTTGCCGCCAACTGCTTGCCGCCCACGAAGAAAGAACTCGCACGCCAAATGGGACGTGATGAGCGCGGCGCGCGAAGGTACTTCACAACTTTGTCTTTGACGTACAACACATGACATGTCCATGTACATGTACAGCTGTAGAGCGTGCGGCCGACGTGTCCCGCTGATCCCCGAGGTCCCCACCCATCCCCACCCATCCCCACCCATCCCCACCCATCCCCACCCATCCCCACCCATCCCCACCCATCCCCACCCATCCCCACCCATCCCCACCCATCCCCACCCATCCCCAGCTCGCTCGATCACACCACCCCAAGAGCCCTTGGGGAAATCCGTTTGCCATACGCTCCGAGCGGCATGCGTGTGATGACGAACATCCGTTGTGCCCTTGTTTGTTCTTCTGGTGCCTTGGAGTGCTTGGGGGGGGGCGACAGGGAGGATGTGGCCCTGAGTTATGTGTACGCCTACTCAGGGTGTGAGATCTTTCTTCA